TAGGCGGCTGCGGGGGCTGGCGCTGGCCCGGCTCCCATGGAGGAGGAGGAGGAGGAGGAGTGCCCCGAGCTGGTTCCCATAGACGGTCAGGAGGTTGAGCGGGCAGAAGAGGCTGAACGTGGCCACAGCCCCAAGATACCAGTCACCATCATCACGGGCTACTTAGGTACCAGTCGGGATGTAAAACCCCGGGTCAACCGCTTCACTGATTAAACGGGAACCCGCTCCTGCCCCGCCCCCGGGTGCAGGCAGCCCAGCACTGGGGAAGGAAGGGGGGCAGCTGCTCCCCCCCCCCATCCCGCTGTGTGTGATGCTGCTGCTTCCAGCCCCTGCACAGGGAGGGGCCGCTCTGCTTGCACAATCCCGCTGGCTCCTCTGTGGTGATGGAATAGCCCTTTGCCCACGGCTGGCTGCTCCTGGATACCGGTTAACCAGTACCTGGTAAGCAGCACCCTGGTGGGTGACCAGGTAACCGGTGAACCATTCACATCCCTAGTGACCAGATCTCCCAGCAGGACTAACCATTGAACTTAGTCTCGTGGGGAGGTTTACAAAGCACACCTGCCCTATAATGTGCTTTTTACTGGTGCTCTGTCAGCATTTCCTACAAAACTGACCTTTGCCTTGTTTTATGCATTGGACGTTAGGTGGATGTCCCAGATGGAATTTGTTTCTGTTCTTCTCTTGAATAGAGCATATTTCATATTCATGTTTTCCTTGCAATGGATAAATCTGGAATGCAGAGTATTACTGCCAAAGAGATCATGCAGACATCTTCCTAGTACTTTATATTTCATGATAAAAAGAATGTGTGACTATGTATTCAACATCAGTTCTGAAAACTGTTGTTGTCATGTTTTCAATTCACAAAACATAGAATACAAACTTGGTGTCATAGCTCCAGTGTCTATAGAAGATACTTCTGTCACAACATATTTGCAGAATTATTTTGGAGAGTTAAATTAGCTGTTACAGAAGAGCTCATGAGTCTTCATCTGCACAGTTAGGGCTTGTCTGCACATGTCACTGCACAGAAATTCCAGAGTGTGAATCCAAAGCCTGAGAACACTTTGGGACTTTCAGTGTGCTGTAGGAGTGTCCCCATATGTGATATTATTTTGCTGCAAGCATATGAACAAACCTAAATTGGCTTTCCATCCGTAGTAGCCAGTCCGTTTTATTCCTTCAAAAGATGAGTGCTAAGATTACAGGGATAAGCACTCAAAATGTGAGGTGAGTGTTTAAATGGATGTCTTGCATGACATGGTATAACTGACTACACTTTTTTGACACCATTTGGAAAAGATGCACTGCAAAATGTGTATGAATGCAGTATTGCCAACCTCAAGCATTAAAAAAACGAGTTAGGTCCCCACGAACTGAGACTGGCTTAAAAATTACAGAGAGGAAATTTTATAGAAAAAGTGAGCCAATACAGATTTTTTTTTTGTTTGTTTCCTAGATCTAAGGGATGGGTATTTGCTGTTTCACTGAAACTGACAAGAACCTTTCACCTAGCTGAGGAAGATGCAGAGTGCCTGGCTGCTCTGCCTCCCCACCAGATACCTCAAATATAACCATTATATTTAAGGTCTCTTCCAGAACACATTGAGCTGGAGTGGTTGCAACTCACTTTGTCTTTATAAGCCCAATTTGGTCTCAGTCTCAGATTCACAGAAATCCATACAGGACTAAAAACCTAAATTAGGTCTAGGACTGAGGTAAAATTTTTCTGCAAAATTGAAGTAACAATGAATATCACAATTCCAAAAAATCTGTGGATGATTTTTACCAGATTTATAAACCCATTCTCCCCACCTAAAAAAAAAAGAATCCAACCTCATTGAATGTGCCTAGTTGGGTTCTCATGCCTGGGGGCAAAAATTTACTTGATTAATATGAAATGATTAACATTTTCTTTAAAAACACTGCTGTAAGACATCTTCACCAGCAGTATTGATATTAAATGACAAATCACTGCTGGGAATCTAAATTTTCATTTAAAGTACATTGTAAATATAGATAGAAATGTATCCTCATTGTGAAGAATGCTTATCAAATGGGTAAAGAGAGATATTTTTTTTATCAGAAGATTTGCAATGCTTGGGAAGAGACCAGTAGGAGTTAGGAGGGAACTCAGTAAGGCTACTAAGACTTCAGGAAGTTGAAGGCTGCTATCAAGTCCCCCCTCACTCTTCGCTTCTGCAGACTAAACAGACCCAAGTCCCTCAGCCTCTCCTCGTAGGTCATATGCTCCAGACCCCTAATCATTTTGGTTGCCCTCCGCTGGACCCTCTCCAATGCGTCCGCATCCTTTTTGTAGTGGGGGGCCCAGAACTGGACACAGTACTCCAGATGTGGCCTCACCAAAGCCGAATAAAGGGGAATAATGACATCTCTGGATCTGCTGGCAATGCTCCTCTTAATGCATCCTAATATGCCATTAGCCTTCTTGGCTACAAGGGCACACTGTTGACTCATATCTAGCTTCTCATCCACTGTAACCCCCAGGTCCTTTTCTGCAGAACTACTACTTCTCTTCCAAGTATTACAAATAACTTTTTAAAATGAGGATCATAACTTGAAATACAAATATAAACATGAAATGTAATGCTTCTGAAGGATCAGATTAGAAAATGAGTACAGGTATTTAATTGGTCTTAATTTCTAAAAAGTACATTTCAGGAGCATGCTGGTAACACTGAATTTGAAAATTCTCCTTATACATTATTTTTGATGTATTTAATTTTGTGCTATTTTCTAGGTGCTGGGAAGACTACTCTTCTTAACTATATTTTGACAGAACAACATACCAAAAGAATAGCAGTTATTCTAAATGAATTTGGAGAAGGTATGTAATGCTACAGAAATATGTGGAAGCAAAAATGAGAATACATAAGCATTTTCCTTTTTTGTTTAAAAAATGTTACAAAAGTAAAATCTTAAAAACAGACAAATGGTTTATGGATTGATACATTAATTGATTGATTCCCAAACTAAGGCCATACGAGTGGCTTATGCTGTTTCTTGGCGGTGTAAAATTGAGGCCCTGTTTTCCATAAACTTGTACACGTTGAATGAACGCTACAATAAAAATTCACAAGTTTGCTTATGAATTTGGGATATGTCAAATCCCTTTTATTCAAATGAATGCTAGTAGGCATTGCTGTTCAACTAAAACAAATAACTTGCACAAGACCAAACTAAAGAGAAAATATGGATTTTAATCAAGCTTCCCTTGCAAGAAATATGTCAAATGATTGTAACAGCTTGCAACTGTTGAAGCTGGACAATGACATTCCTTCATTTTTTTTACAGCAACTTAGTGATCGTTCTTTAAAATTTTAGTTGTTTGCTTTGCTCCACTTTTATCTGGATGTTGATGATGAACAAATGTAGCATTGAGAACCTGTGGAATCCTTCACCCCACCATAATGATGTTGGTAACTTACCAACTTTATTATTATAAAAATTCTTGCTATGGACAAATGAATTTTGAATTGATGTTGCTGGACCAAAGAGCCTCGGAGATGGGAGCAACACAGGTTGGGGAGTCCTAGCTGGGTCAGGTGGCATCTGGGGAGCTCTCCCCACCCTGGTCGGAAAACCTCCAGCGTTAGCAGAGCAAGGTGGTTGGAGAGCTCCATCCCCAGCTAGGGAACCCCTGTCATTAGTGATGCAGGCAGTGGCTGGAAGCTCTTGCCCTTACCAGGGAATTGCTAGTGTCAGCTGGGACAGGTGACTAGTGAGTCCCAGCTCCATCCGGGGAATCCCCAGTTGCAGTGGAGCTGTCAACGGCCGGGCACCCCAGCCAGGAACCCCCTAGTGGCAGCAATGTCAGGGTGACTTGGCACCCTTTTCCAGGGAAACCCCTGGCTAAAGTGGGACTGGCGAAGGCGGGTGGCTAGAATCCCCAGTAGCAACAGGGCAGCCCTAGCAGCAGGGCAGGAAGGCCAGGCAGCCCCAGCTGTGAACCCAGGGAATAGTCTGTGGCAGTGGGACCAGCAGCAGCCAGGGTTTGCGCTGCGAACCCCAGGAGGCCAGAGCAGTGCAACCAGAAGGGGAGCACTGACCTCCCCTGGTCCAGCAAACTCTCTGGTCCGGGTCAGCACAGGTCCTGAGGATGCTGGACCAGGGAGGTCCAACCTGTTGAGTAAGCATTGATTGGGGAGTCAAGAACCATGTAGTTCTAAATCGAGTACTGCCAATGACATGCTGTACATCCTCACAAAGTCACATAACCTCTCAATTAATAGCTGTACTGTTCTGAAAATGTGCAAATTTCTGTGACTCATATATACGTTCAGTGTGTCAGCATCGTAAATGACTATCGCACCACATTGGCTGCCTCTCTTCCATTTTGTCTGCATATTCAAATGTGAATACTACTATTTCTTGAAAGTTTATTTTTTATTCTTCATAGGTTGATCTGATTCTTAAACCTTAAATTTGCCTTATATAAAACCGAATGCTTAAACTAAGTATAATTTCTAAAGAATTTGTCAGGAAGGTTTATGAGAACATGGAACACAAATAAAGCTCAGAAATCTACCCTGATTGCATTTTTTCCTCATCTTATTTTTCAGATATTGTTGCAGGTTTGTAGGTTTTAAATGTGCTACTTATGTCCTTCCTATATTTCTAGGCAGTGCCTTGGAGAAATCCTTGGCTATAAGTCAAGGTGGTGAACTCTATGAAGAATGGCTGGAGCTTAGAAATGGTTGCCTGTGCTGTTCAGTAAAGTAAGGAATATTTTGTTGAGGTGGTTTATATAAACATTAGGAGTAAGCTTGAAGCTTGCTCTCTTTTTTTAAACTTCATTTTTTTCACAGTCCATCATGTATACCTGGATATTTGATAGGCATTAAGTATATTACCTACAGCATTTAAAATTAAAAGAAATAAAGCTAAATGATGATGAACTTCTTGCTGTTCTGTTTTTAAAAATGACAGAATCCTTGAATTACTTTGTGTTCTCAATTATGTTATTTTATTACTTTATTTTCATTGTTTCACATACACACATAAAATGTTGACTGACGGATTGAGGAAGAATAGTTGAATATCTATAAACAGCTACCAAAAGGCAAGCTCACTCTCAAAGGAATGCGTGTTCTGCTGACAGTATTACAGAAACTGAGCACAGTGGCTGATTTAGAGGGCTATCTACTATATATTTGAGAGATTTTGTGTGTTTGTCTATCCGTATGTCGGTCTGTCTCTGTTAAAGAGCTCCTCCTAAGAGCTAGGACCTCCAAATTTGGTATGCAGCTTCCTCTTATCATTACGTAAATCAAGATAAGGGTTTGATTGTGCCGGGACAATGGATGTGCCTGGAGTGCAGGTGTTTTCCTAAACACAGAAAGGAAGGGGGCTGCCAGCAAGGGACAGTTATACTGTGTAATGACCATAGGAGGGCAGCAAGAAACCAGAGATAGGACTAGGATAGCTATAACCCCATTTGTCCAGCAGGGGACACAGGTGGAGGTAAGCCAGTGTAGCCCTCTGCTGTGGCCAGCCCCATGGACCTGCTGTCCAGCCAGCACAGTCCCTGCCAGCTCATGCTTTCCCCAGCCTTCCCTCATCCTCCAACCCTGAGGCCTGCACCTTCCCACACCTATCTCCCCACCCTCCTGCCTTGAGCCCTTCCTCACATACCAGCCCTGTCTCCAGCATTCCCAAGCTCCTGCCCTGCGTCCTGTAGTAATCAATAAAACAGAATGACTAATCAATACAAAATGCCCTCCATAAGATTTTCAGATACTGTGTTTTGGAAAATAGTTTATTTTAAGGGCTTCACTTATTAGATAAAACTATGACTAGTTGAATAGTCTCATATTAATCTAGTATTAAGAGAGCCATACCAAAGAGTTTCTCCTGTACCGGATGAAAATGCAATGTTGATTCATACCATTCTGCAATCATCCATGGGAACAGTTACTAAAAGTTTTATTGCCTTTAATATTTTCCTGCCCTGCATGCCTTCATATACTGCCTATGTGGTAGAGCCACTCTTGAACACACATGTTCCATAATAACTTGCAGACAGCAATCATGCTTAATCTCAAGAAGTGGTGGAGGAACTTCAAAATTGAGGGAAGATTTCATTGTCAATGAAATAAACAGTATGCTGATTAAATTTGCCGGTAGTAGAACATTGAGAAAAGCTGCAAACACCAGTGAGATAAGAGAAGTAATACTTAAAGACATAGAACAATTAGAATTTGAAAATGGACATAATATAGCATACACAGTGATGAAATTCAGTGTTGGTGGATGGAAGGAATACAAGCTATGTGGAATGGGGTTAGGGAATCCAAATACAGATGCTTGGTCGGAGGCAGAAATCTTGAAATCAGTAATCCTGAAAAAGATAGGAATGATTGTGGGCAGCAAATTATATCTGAGTTTGCAGTTGGAGGATTTTTGGTTTACGTTGCGTAAACATTGTAATTTTTGTTATATGTATGGATGCCTCACATCGAGGAGCAGGAATAGTGACCACATTAGGGATGTAAGCGACTACTCTCTTCCCCGCCTTGCTGCCCATGTCAGAGAGAGGCAGCAAGGTGGGGGATCAGGAGCCAGTGCTTAAAAGCCAGCTCCTCTCCCAGCACTGTCTCCTCGGGGGGCAGGGGAGGTAGAGGCACAGCGGGAAATGGCGCAAGTGGGAACTGAGGCATCTCCGCTCATGCCGGTTCTGCAATTCTGCTTTTGAAATGTACAAGAGCCTCACACATTTCAATGGCTGTGGTGCTGCAGGGAGCGTGGGGCCAGCAGGGGAGTCTCCACTGGCCCTACCTTCCCTGTGGGGCTTCTGCTTTTGAAATGTACAAGAGCATCACTGGGGCTCTTGTACATTTCAAGGGCTCAGGCGCTGCAGGGAGCAGAGGGCCAGTCCCCTCTTGCCCTTCTCTCCCTGCTGTGCTTCTGCTTTTGAAATGTACAAGAGCATCACTGGGGCTCTTGTACATTTCAAGGGCTCCGGCGCTGCAGGGAGCAGGGGGCCAGTCCCCGCTTGCCCTACTCTCCCTGCTGTGCTTCTGCTTTTGAATTTTAGCAAGAGCCCAAAGTTGAAGGCACCCTTATTGACTCATTGAATAGTCTATGGAAGTCACATCGACTGTTTGATTAGTTAATCTAAATTTAACATCCCTGGACCACATTTGCAATATTCCCATTTTTTTTGTTCTTTGTACACTATCTAGAACAGCGAAGCCCTACCTCATGACTGGGGCTTCTTGGCACTATCACAATAGTAATAATATTCTATTCAGTTTTGGGTATCTGCTTTCCAGAAACACAAAGACCGTGGTGGAAAGAGTTAAGAGAATCAAAATGATCAGGAGCCTGACGGGACTAATTTGAAGAGATTTTTAAGAGATAAGAATATATTAATATACCCTGCCAAAGATGACTGTGATGGAGACATAACTCTACAAATATTTGAAGAGAATGAAAGTAAAGGATGAAAAATTTAGCAGTATTTGGGGTGCAGGGTGTAGGGTATAATTAAATATAGGAGTGAAATTATGGGCAGAAATATAAACACCGATTAGTAAGAACTTTCTGACAGACTGTTTAGGCTATAGAGTTGTCTCTCAGTGGAAATAGTATCAGCTTTTAACACTTAGAACATTTTAAACTTGCTTGGGCAAAGCACTAGAAGAAGTACTGTAAATTAGTGACCTCTTACATTGATAGCCAGAGTAGATGACCCACTTGGTCTTTTCCTTTTTTAATATTTGTCAGACTATGAATGCTGATGCATGTAATTAACTTGGTTTCTTTTCATAACGCTAATTTGTGATGCACAGTAACACTCATGTTGAATCACTAATAATACTACACCAGCTCAGAGTGGCAGTAGCCCCTTCCTGAGCAAGAGATGCAAAACCTGGCAGAAGTATCTCTATGGTCTGATCAGCACTTCCCACAACACACCATTCCAGATCTATAAGTTGTAGCGTGCTTATCACAATATGCAGTATACCCCCCATCCAGTGTACTAAATGCCCCCAAAACAACTATATGTGTGAAATAGACAATCACTATGCTCTCAAATGAACTCTCACAGATAAATGATAAAGACAAAAGCACCACATTATCTGTGGTGTTTTCATCCTCAAGGAAACCTGCACAACACCTTCAAAAGATGAGATTGGGAGCTTAAATTCATAACTTTGCTAGACACTAAAAATCATGAAGTGAATAGAGACACTGGATTTATGGCTTATTTATAATAATGTATAACCCACTATCAACCTCCCACCTGCAGCTGCTTCCCCTCCTCTTTCTTACTCTATGGGTATGTCTACACTTCAGGGCAAAAGTCAAATTAAGGTGCACAACTTGAGCTATGACAATTGTGTAGCTTAAGTCGAAATAGCTTAATTCGGCTTTTGGTGCTGTCTACACCGTAGGAAGAACACTCTTCCTTCAACTTCCCTTACTCCTTGTGAAATGAGCGTTACCATGAGTTGGAGTAAAAAGTCCTCCAGCTCAGCGGTATTTCAAACTAATGGCTTGTAGTATAGACACGTTCTTTATTATTTCAGAATAACATTAGTTATTCTGAAATGATGCTGCTGTGTAGACGTGCCCTATGAGTGGAGGGATGATAATGGGCCACTTCTCCTTGAATAGTCCCTTTCAATATGTATTACCTACTTATGCTAAACAATCTGTTCAACATTCTGTTTAGTAGGTGTGGGGTTGAAATTCTGAATAGATTTTCCTAAACCTAAAGAAGAGTCCCGTGTAGTTCCAAAGTTTGTATCACCAACAGAAGTTGATCCAATAAAATATATTATTACCAGATTGTTAAAATAGTACAGACAAATAGTGATTTGTCTAAGGTTGCACATGAGTTGACAGTTCTGAGTATAAACTTGAAGTTCTAACTACCAGTCCCTTGCTTTAAGGATTAAACCTTACTACCTTCCATATGAATAACAAATGTAAAACATATTCATAGCTATTACAGACCTTCTAAAGGATACTCAAGGTTTTTTTATTTTTTACAGGGACAATGGCTTGAAGGCTATTGAGAATCTTATGCAGAAGAAGGGAAAATTTGACTACATACTACTAGAAACCACTGGATTGGCAGATCCAGGTAGATAATATATATCTCTATTTGTTTTTATGATAGCCATAGTGAATATCTTTGTGTGTATGTGAGTGTGTGTGTATCTCTATTTGTTTTTATGATAGCCATGGTGAATATCTTTTTGTGTGTGTGTGTATGTATGAGGAGAGTAGACTTAATTTATTTGTTTGCATAATGTGCATTTTTATTTGGAATGTGTGGTAATGTGATGTTTGCTCACATATTTGACTGCAATAAAAATTATGAAGTTGGATCAGTTAAAAAGTTTGTTGCATAAGCCAGAATAGAATCCAATCCCGCAGTATTGACGCTGAAGGCTAACTGGAGTAAAATGTGATAAAATATTTTTTCAGTGTGCCTCAGATTACACAGGCAGCAAATATCAGACATAGTAATGAAATGTGTGATATAAAAACTGATAGCTCTGAGTAAGGAGATGCTGGGTTGTTTTGGAGGTGTTTTTGGTAGCACTTTTCAGACCAATACGCTTTAATTTGTATATGTACATATATTATGGCAATTGTCAATGATGGGCATGTATTTTGTTAAGGCACAGAGAAGAGTGTCAAACAGGCAAATGTATTATCTAAATATTTGCATCATATTAATATACAGAAACTTCTAGTTTGTAGCTGATAGTACAGAATTAAATATTGCTAACTTTCTAGACAATTTTTCATGTAGCATGAACAGTTAAGTTATTTTTTTCAGTTCAGTAATAAAAGATGTTATTGATTCAATGGGTTCTGTTTGTTTTACTATATAAAAATGACATGTATATGGTCATTTTAAAATTAAGAAAAGCTATCTAAAACAGTCTTCCCTGACCTCTGTTAATTAAAAGCCTGTTGTTAGCCAAGAAAGTGAAGGAAATTCTTTTTCCCGTTTAGGAGACTGACACTCTTCAGTTCAGAGCTAAATAATTGTCATGGTAAAGTAATTTTCTTTAAAAGAACGGACATTGATTTAACCCCTGTTACACACACATCCTATTTCAGTCAAATTGGAAAACTATTAAGGTTTTAGGGAAAAAATCAATAGATATCAGGAAACCATTAGATCTTGTGGCCCTTGCTATATCTTGCATGAGTAATCACTGTAAACAGCTGACAGGTATTTCATCGTTGACACAAAGTGATGCTTGGGGGACTACATCTTGTCAGTTCAGTTGGATGGCTTTAGACATTGGAATGAGTTCAGTTAGCATTGTTTTCCCCTATATGTTTCATTCTTTTAGACAGCCCTGTCACTAACTAGAACTGTGATGCTTTGAAAAATAAAATAATTTCATTGCTGTCAGCTTCTCCTCTCCTTCATGTTGTGGCACTGTTACATGTTAAATCAGTTCATGTCGAAACACATTATGATGTCTTATTTATAAATAGATAGCATTTATCCTGAAGACACTAGACCCCTTTTTGTACTGGAGCTTTTCAGTAATAAACCTGAATATTATTATACCCCTCTACTTTTTCCTCAAAGAGCAGATATCTTTTGCAAAGACATCAATTTGTTACATTTTATTGGTTGATATTATTCTACATGTTTTCAGAGCTGCTTTTCATTATTAATAGATAGAACATATTATTTCAGATGCACATGTAATACCTACCCTCCCAGGGTTTTTTTTATTTCGAGGAAATGAAAATACATTGCATTTTAATAACACCTTTTTCCTCCAAGGATCCTGTAGTGTTTTACAGTGTAAGAGGTCAATTCTCCATTGATATGTGCTGTCATTTACTTTTACAAAATGAATATGAAATGCTACCAAATCAGAATTCTCCAATCACACCATTGTACATTTTGCAGAGATATAAACAACTATATAAGGTGCATGGCAGTAGATAATCAGGGTCTTATAGTTGTATTACTCTGCCTATCTCTGAAGAGTACCCACTTCTGGGGTGGAACTGGCAACAGCTAATTTGTTCTAGTGAGATGATATGTACTCACTTGAGTGAAAGAAAATCTGAAAAATGCCATATCCAACATAAACTACTGTGGGAACATAAAGAGACAGAATGTAGCTTCCTGAGTCACAGTTGGGCCAGGGCACTATTTTGTACATCTTTACTTGTACAAAAAATACCTTAGGCATTTAATACAGAGGTTGTTCATTTCAATGTTTAACAATCAATAATTAAACAAAATGTGTCATTATTAGATATTGTAATAAAAGACTTCAGAAAACCTAGTGTTTGGTATCAACTCAACAAAATATTACGAGTTAAAAAGAAAGCATTACTATTTAATATGGATTTTATAATTTATCATTATAAAATCATCTCGGAAGCCAGTTCATTCTCTTTCAAAGGAGTTTGGCAAATGACATTTCAGAAAGATACTTGACTCCAGTACCAGGCTCAGAAATAATACTAAATTTAATTATTTTTAAAAATTACTAATGGTGTTAAAAAATTCTTACTCTGTTAGCTTACATACTTCTGGTTGAGGAAGAAATGAAGGCAGCTTTTCTGAAGTGCTGTCAGCCTCTGGAATTTTTTATTGGTCAGGCCTTCTCTGTACATGAAAAATGCACCAGTGTAATGAAATCAGTTTAAAAATGGATTAGTGAAACTAGTGTAAACCTCTAATGTAGATGTGCTAAGTAGGATAGACAACAAATGGTCTGGTAGCACTTTACAGACTAACAAAACATGTAGATGGTATCATGAGCTTTCGTGGGCACAGTCCACTTCTTCAGATGATCGGAGTTTGAGTTTAGGATGTGCAGACCCAAAATAAATAGAAGAGAAGTGGCGAGGGTGGGAGGGGGGAGGAAAAAAAGGAAGGAGGTGGGAGACAGGGAGCTAGAGGCAATCAGTAAGTATCTGAAGATTGGGTGGTTAAAACGAAGCAGATAGGAATTGTCTGTATCAGTTAAGCTTCAATTACCAATTTAAGAGGAGTTGATACAAATTAGTATAATACTGGTTTAAATGCATCTAAACTGATTTTATTCAATTGCTGCACTTTTCTAGTATGGAAACCCGGTGCGCTGTACTGGTTATTTTCATTTCTGATCCATGGTGCTTTCTCACCTGAAGAACTGAGAAGGGTATTGGGGAAGAAAGAGAGGTTCTTAGCAGACTGCATTAAGAACTAACTCCTCTTAGGAGTCCTGATTCATCCTTTTTTCATTTCACCAAAAAGCCCTCCTTTCTGCTACTACATAGAGGGGAATACCTGAAACCTGGAGTAGATAAAGATCAGCCAGGAATAGCAGAGGAAGAAAGGACCAATGACAGTACGCTAGAAAATGGGGTTCAGTAGATATAGGCTCAGAGAAAAGGAGCAGCAAGGCAAGCTGATGTTAAATGCATGGTTAGAGAGGTAGGAGCAGAATCGTGAAAGTGTAGTCAGGAGTCTGAGCTGAGAAGAGGAAGAGCATGACTATGTAGAATAGGGAGTGGGCAATAATTTTTGACAGGGGTCCACTCTAAGATTTTGGAAAGCGGTTGAGGGCCTCACTCTTTCAGAAACAAAATACAGGACTATGTAGCACTTTAAAGACTAACAAGATGGTTTATGAGATGATGAGCTTTCGTGGGCCAGACCCTGGTACCTTCCCCTGCAACAAACCCCATTGCCAGCTTTGTCCACATATTCACTCTGCTGATTCCATTATTGGACCTAACCAAGTGAGTTATAAGATCAAGAATACATATTCCTGCGCAACCAGAAATATAATTTATGCTATCATGTGCCGAAAGTGTCCATCTGCTTTGTACATTGGACAAACGTCTCAGACACTTCGCCAAAGGATCAATGCCCACAAAACAGATATTAGACAGGATCACAAAGAAAAAACAGTTTCTTGCCATTTCAACCAGAAAGGACACTGTCTCAATGACTTAATTACCTGCATCCTGCTTCAGAAGCCTTTTAAATCTGCACTTGAAAGGGAATCCTCTGAACTGTCATTCATGCTAAAATTTGACACTCTATGCATGGGTCTCATTAGCTCACAGACATTTACCTCCCCACCCCGCATCCCCCTTCTGTTCTGAAATTTGATTTGTCCTTTTCATATGTGTTCATTTTTTTAATTGTATCCTTTGGTATATATGGTTGTGACTATTTTCTTCCACTATTTGATCTGAGGAAGTGGGTCTGGCCCACGAAAGCTCATCATCTAATAAACCATCTTGTTAGTCTTTAAAGTGCTACATAGTCCTGTATTTTGTTTCAGCTACACCAGACTAACACGGCTACATTTCTATCACTCTTTCAGGATATTAATGGAGGAATTCCGAGGTGTTGGATGGAGGTTGGGTGCGGAAGGGAGCTTGAGGAAGGGATTGGGTTGCAAGAGGGAGAATGGGATCTGGGAGGGAGTTTGGATGAAAGATGCAGTTGTGACCTAGGGCAGAGGACTAGGATGCAGAATTTGGGGATGTGATCTAGAGTAGGAAGGCATTTTGATCTTGGACAGGAGATTGGAATGCCAGATCTGTGAGAGGTTATTGGTGAAGGAGGGGACAGAGGGTTTAAGTATGTGGAGGGTGGGGGGGGAAAGGTTAGGAAAGTGAGGCATCAGGGAAAGTTGAAGAGTAGCAACTGCAAACAGGTGTGATTTTTCTGGTACATCCTCAGACTTGCAACTAAATGCCTTGCTTTTTAGGTGCTGTGGCCTCCATGTTTTGGGTTGATGCTGAACTAGGAAGTGACATATATCTTGACGGTAAGAAAAAGTGTATGTGTGTCTTCTATAATACTTGTGAGGGTGTTCTCCCACTTTAGTTATTGTTGTTTAGTTATTTGAGTTATTCTGAACATTTCATTTCAAGAAGTAAACAAGTAGCTTGATTGAAGAGGCATGAGTGAAACTTAGTTGCTAGTATTATGTAGGGATGTGTTAGGATACAAGGTTAAACAATGAGCCTGGGTTCATGGTTACACAAAGGTAACCCCCACGCTGCTGCCTCTTATAGATGCAGCAGCGTAGGGTGCAGGGAGAGGTGGCTCTGCGGGAGCCAGTGCTCGTGGGTTTCTTGCTTAAAAGCTGGCTCCCAGTGCACACCGGCTCCCAAAGAGATGCCTCGCCTCTCCCCTGGGTAAATGCGTAACCGCTGAAAAATTGTATAGGTTACACGTTTGGGGGAAAAAATGCTTTTTTTAACATTCTTAGTATTATGTAGGGTTGACCTCGTGTGTGTTATTTTCTCAATTAAAATGTTTAAACCTTAGGTTCTTTTACTGGTCTGTGAAAAGTTGCCAAATTCTGAAGTCAATGGCAGTGATAACTTCTTAATTGCACAGGAACTACTTTTCATCATAATAGACTGTTTTAAGTTGAAAACAATGTGTATGAACAAATACTTTTAACACTGTATAGAGAATGTAAAGCAGTCACTAATGATGTGTTTTATAGAATTTCTTCTTGCCACTACAAAATCTGGTTATATTGGTGTAATTTGCTTTCTTTGGTATCAGTTTCATCATTGAAATTATTCCACACTATAGGCCACCCAGAGAATTTCTGGGTCTGGAAAGAGTTGGAAATTCGGAACCTTGTTACTTATCTATACATCCTATCTTTGGTTGGTTTGTGTTTTTCCTCCTCTCAATCGCTTTCTTTAGCACTCTTGATCTCTGTCCTCCTTTCTTTCTCTACATCAATGCAGTAGTGTCTTGTACCAATTGGTGTGTTCCCCTACGGTCTCCTTGGGCTCACTGTAGTGGTGAGCCTCTCAAAAATATTCAGTGTGTTGTAATCAGGCTTATTTTGTTCACATTTTTACTTTAAGTAGATATGAAACAATCACTTTCAGCAAGACTGGTTATAAAGAACTGAAAGTGGGATTATAATAAAAACTCTTGTGTGAATTTAACTCTTGCTGCCCCTGTAATCAAGTAGCTAATATACTCTTAGCCATTTTCATTTTATTTTTTAATTGGTACTCTTTATTGTAGTTATCACTTACAAACTTGTTTTTTTCAGGTATTGTATCTATTGTTGATGCTAAGTATGGACTGCAGGTAAGATAATGCTATTTAAAAAATAGTGTAAATCAAAACAGTAGGTAGAAATGATGGCTGTGTACATGAGAAACTAGGGAAATACCACCTAGATATGGAGCCACTATAACGTAGGTGTATAGCTGGTTGGAAAACCATTCCCAGAGAGTAGTTGTCAGTGGTTCATAGTCATAGAATCATAGAACTGGGAGGAAACTTGGGAGGTCATTAAGTTCAGTCTACTGCATTTATGGCAAGACCAAGCACCATCTAGACCATCCTTAACAGGTGTTTCTCTAACCTGCTCTTAAAAAAACTCCAATGATAGAAAATCCACAACCTCCTTAGGAAATTTATTCCAATGGTTAACTACCCTGATCATTAGGAAGTTTTTCCTAATGTTCAACCTCAGCCTCCCTTGCTGCAATTTAAGCTCATTGTTTCTCATTCTAGCCTCAGATATTAAGGAGAATAATTTTTCTCCCTCCTCCTTATAACAATCTTCGAGTTCTATGATTTGTGTATGGATTACATTTTTAATATTATATTAATTCTTGGGGTTTATGACGTTATGTTGGAATTCCAATTTCATAACAAATTATAGCACTATTTCATCCAGATAATCCAAAGATGTTAAGATGCCTCTTCTTTGACCTTAATGTAATGCTTTTTAGGTGAACAAGAAATAATATTGCACAGTAGTTCGCAAGCTGTTTGCAGAGCGCTTCTCTGTTGCAACTGTTAGGTTAAGAGGTATTTGTTCCTCTTGTCTCTAGCAGTTTATAAAGATACCCAGGCGCTTTATTGCAAATAGGATCTTAGATAACTGTAAAAGTTGCTGGAAAGATGAAGATTCCCTCTTTGGTCCCCACCAACAATCAGTGCTATTTTTAAAGGAAAGAGGAACTGATCTCAGGACCTGGAGTAGGCAGTAATCAGTGGGATTAGAAATGCTATTAGAAAAAGTGTATCTAGGAAATTAGGAAGAAAGGAACAAGACAGTATGTACAAAGGTGAAGAGAGCCAGGAAACCAGAAGAGCTCAGTTTAAAGGAGGACCATGCAGTAGTAGAGGACAAGTGTACCAGGTGGCAATATGTATGTGGGGGTGGGGTAAGAGATCTAGATGAGACACAAATGGGAAATGAAATTAGATTAATAGGTACTGTGACTAATTTAAAAAAGGCTAATACTTTTTAAATTCAAGACCGTTAAAATACATTTTTTCAATATTAGACAGTTAGTATAGCTATCACAGGGATATTGTGAGATTGAATGAAATGAGAGGTGGTCCACAATTATCATAAATGAAACCAGGTGCTATGCAAAACTATGAAAATATTTGAGTTGCCCTTGTTTTAAAATCTAGATATTCTCTCTGTTTTTAAGCATACTTAATGCTTTTTGGGTAAACTGAAGGATGGTGTTTTAAAACGAATAAAACTGTTAGATCATTCTTTCTTTGATATCCTTGTTTGCTTTATGCATCTTAGGATTTTATGCCTACATTTTTACAACCTTGAGTGTTTTTATTAGTGTTCCAGAAAGTGGTTAGAAAGAGTCTATTATGGACAGAGCATGTGTGAGAGAAACAAAAATGAAATGCTAAGGTAAAACTGTGGAGAAACCTATGGTAAATGTACAAGCCATAAAGTTTACTAAATTCTGTGGAAGCTTTTTTCAGTGCTTTCAAAATACAGTTGGTGAGGGAGAAATATAGAACAGTGGAATTAAAATAAAATTGCAGAGAATTGCCAAAATAGCTAGTACACTTAAACTTTTAACACTATTTATAAAGGATTGATTAAAGCACGTCATTTGTCATTATTTCTCTTTTCTGGATCTCTTCAAGAATAGTGAAGTATCAGAAGGAGGAAAGTTGGAAACTTATTTTAAACATTCCTAACATGAGATATATTTTAGTCAAGGGATTTAGAAGATAGCCTGAGTGAAAGTTTATAATCTTTTTGATAGAGTTCTAGATGAACAGAAGCTCTTTGATTTCATATCTTGTTTCAGTAAGGCACAGTGTTCAAGGCTCTATCTTTAGCTTGCATTGCATTACAGAAATGTTTTATTATCCAAATAGAATAGTGTAAAGCACTTTAACTGTTATACATATAGCCTTTTGAAGTTGTATGCTAGCCAATTAATCTTTATAATATCTCTGAGAGAAGTTTTAGGTTTGTTTGGTTTTTTTAATCAAAGAAGAAAGTGAGACACAGAAATTACATGATTTGCCCAAGGCCATAGAATAAGTTGCACAGCGAGGATTAGTACCTTAGGGTATGTCTACACTACAAAGTTAGTTTGAACTAACTTTCATAGGCGCTACACTAGCGCTCCGTTAGTTCGAATTTAATTCGAACTAGCGGAGCGCTTAGTTCGAACTAGGTAATCCTCATTCCACGAGGATTAAGCCTAGTTCGAATTTACTAGTTCGAATTAAGGGGTGTGTAGCCCCTTAATTCGAACTAGTGGGAGGCTAGCCCTCCCCAGCTTTCCCTGGTGGCCACTCTGGCCAACACCAGGGAAACTCGTCTGCCCCCCTCCCGGCCCCGGACCC